AAGGTGCAATCACATAGAGAAACAGGCAAGTAGATAAGCTTGGAATGAAGAAAGGCATTACAAAACCAGCAGCCATGGTCATGATTGAAAGTAAATGAAGAACATGCCAGAAAATATAGTCAGAGTGAAAGGAAATACCTACGAAGGAAGGTGTTGAAGAAACTGGTAGATACTGGAGGAGGAGGCTCTGGTAGGAAGAAACTCTTCGGGAGCGATTCAGAACAACAACAGAAACAAACGAATGATAAATGAGGCAAGTGGTATGAAATGTTGAAATTAAAGGATTAAACCCGCGAAAGCCAAAAGGCATGGGTACAGCGGTAATTTTGCAATGGACAAGACAGTTGAGGGACGTTTTGGCAGAGGCATTAAATGCCAAGACGGCGAGAAACGCACCACGCCACACGTCGCGCCTATTAGGAGAGGGCACGTGGAGTGATAATCATTAGAAGGAAGGGAAACCGCTTCTCACTTCAGAGCAATCGTCAGATGGCAGTTACGCACAATCATATTCCGCGTTGCCGACATTTGCATTTGCATCCGGGTTCCCATGCCGGGTTTAAGATCGTGACCTGCCTTAGACAAGGAACTCGGTTATTTATGCTTATTAGGCTTACGGAGACCAGGAATGGCTTCCAGGGGAAGTTTTCCCCTCTCAAGGCTAGGCAAGGGAGCCGAAGTAACAAAGCAGCTAGGTGACCAACTTCCGAACTAAAGCATAGCAGTCGGACTGGACATCCCAGCAACCTGAAGACTCAGTCTACCGGGCTGGGGGGCAACTGTTATGGACCAGAGAAAGGCCCACAGCAGCATGAAGCCCAACCAACGTCAGCCCAGAGGTAAGCTCTATAAATAGGACTAAAGACCACAGGTATGACTGATCTCTCGAACCCTATTTCATTCAAGACACGACAGTGCACACACACCCATTCTGGCTGAAGCCATCATATAGTGTGTAGTGATCAGTTGTCCCCAAGATACCTAATTCATAGGTATCTAGAGAGAAAGCTCTAGATCCAACATCAAAGACCCGACCTTCTGTCGGACATATCTGCTTCAGGCAGAACAGTATGGTTTATATTTAAAAGGTATTAATCTCATTCAAAGTATATAAGGATATTATAGAAAACTAAATAATAATAATAATAATCACAAAATTAAGTAATGATACAAAAAATTATATTGAAAATAATTCAAAATTAATCTCCTTTGATACACGTGAATGTGATCAAATGAGAATTTTAACTTGATTCAAGATAAAAACGATACAATTTTTATATAAATCGATGGAGGAGGAAATGGTATTGCATAAATATAAAATGTGTCTGGTGTTTCCCCTTCCACAAAAGATAAATTAAGGCATTTTATTTGGAAAATTTTATGTATTACATAAGAGAAGCGAAATTTTCAAAATGCTTTGTAAATTTTTTATTTTTTGAGTAAACACCCTTTTTAGTCCCTGGCAATATCTACAAAGTCCTTTTCAGTCCTTGGCAATAAAAAAGGACCAAATTGGTCCTTGAAAGTACAAGAAAAGGGTCACTCTACATATTTGGGAGTTGACATAAGGACTAACATGACCCTTTTTTTGTAATTTCAGGGACCAATTTGGTCCTTTTTTATTGTCAGGGACTAAAAAAGATTTCGTAGATATTGACAGGGACTAAAAATGGTGTTTACTTTTATTTTTATGTCTCAAAATCTCAAAACGAGGTCCTTTGAAAATTATAAGAAATAATTTTATCTCCTGAGAGAAACACTTTTCCATGTAAAATATTATAAATACAGTATACGTAATACATTTATTCAATTTGATGGTGAATTTTATGAAATGAAGCGACCCTTATTCAAATCATAGAAGACCAAAACCTCGTAAGTCCAAGACCAATAACCCTTACCTTGCAACGAAGCAACTCTAGACCGCCACAAGTTGTTTCAATGAAACACGTAAATTGCGTCGCATTGGCATACCGGGCATAGGACAGATTAGCACCTCAGTAACCAGCCAATGATTAGGCCACACGAAAACTACTCCAGTTCAATCTAGGTCTGTAGTCCACAAAGTCATCCCGAACATAGCATCAACGGCCAAACGAGAGGAATTGATCCTCTCATGTGGAAAAGTGGTCATGTGGTCATGTTATTTGATCACAATCACTTATTTAAAAATTATATATTTTTCTCTCTCTTATGTCATCATCAATAAATGGTTGTGATCAAATAACATGACCATTTTTTTACATCCACTCCCACGGCCAACACATGATTAATCATTAATCCCATGATTAATGTATATTGCATAGCATATTGACGAACGAGGTTCAAACTAGCATTCGAATTCATTATCCTTCCTAATCAATAAACTAGAGAGAGAGAATATCCCGTACCTAAAATTGCCGTGGTATTAATGATCCTTTTCAGTGGAACGACTGTTGCGGCCGACCAATCTCGATTTTTTTTTTAATAAAAATAATGACAGCGACAATTATTAGAACCACAACGCTAAATCTTTCTTTAAACGAGATATTTTTATGGGTTAATCATTTGAGTATTGGAAGAATATAATGACCCAACAAAGAATATTACCCTAATCGTCTTAGTTTTAGTATTAGCACTTAAAATAATTAAATAAAATATCTGAGTTGTATTTCAAACTTAAACTTTCAACTTTCAAGTCGAAGTCAAACACGCCACTAAGATTAGTTGAGGAAATTAGTTTTTACTCCAACTTGGCCTCAATATGTGGTTTAGATTTCTTTGGTACATGTGTGGTTTAGATTAATGTTTACATAATTTATTTAACATTTGCAGGTTCCCAATCTGGTTATTGGCTGGCGGTTAGGGGTGCAGAAGTAATCGCCGTGCACGTAAATTTGTTGTACCATTTTGGCTTGTATGTATAAGATTGTGGCACGTCCCCAAACATTGTTTAGTCGAAGAGAGATTTTTTTTTTTTAATTTTTTTTTTTTTTTTTTTTTGGAAAAAATAGCCTCGTGCCTTGTAAGTTTATCGATTGTGGGGAAACTAATATGCCTAAACATGCATACAAAGAATCCAATGGTGATGGACAAGATTCAAAAGCTGATCAGTGTTAGGATTGTCCAGGTGAGGTGAATTGGAAATTCGGTGCAAGGAGATAGTCTTGCAGAGAAATCATTGATAATCGTGTTTTCCATTGTGAATAGATAGGATTGGAAAAACGAGGAGGTTAATTTACCCTTGGGAAATTTTGAGTTGCTCTCCGCATTCGCTTTGTCTTATTGAATTCATTTGATTTATGAGGATGTTAATGCAGTCAATTTTCCCCCTTTGTCTCTATTAATCTAATTTAAATCGTGGGGGCATGACTCTGATGTCGGGGTTTAGTTATTGTCTGAGGTTGTACAACTTTGGTTTCTCCTTTCGAGTGTACATTTTACTTGGGACAAAGTGGGCACTGAGTATCGGAGGTTTTGAGCATGGGGGAAACGAAATCTAGAAGTCAAAACCCTCACAATTCGAAATGGTGTTGTTTTTACTTTGTAAAGTTAGTAAAAGAGCAACTGTCTGACTCTGGCCATTAATTAGAACATGCATGCATCATTTTGAGTATCTTGGATAAATAAGGGAATAAAAAAAAAAAAAAACAATGATAGAATGATAATTATTGAGCAGTTAAGATTTAGAGATAAAAATATAAAAATATGTAAATTTTAGGTTAATACGTGTTTGAATTAGCTTATTTTAAAATTAGAGAAAAAATTTAACCAAAAACTTCATAATAAAAATTAAAGTAATGATTTTTTTAAATAATGATTTCTTAATCATGTTATTAGACTATTAATTCGTGCAATTGACCAAATACTTATAGCAAAACTGAATATCAAAGATTAGAAAGTATTTTTTTTTTTTTCAAATTATTTTTGGTTTAAAATTATTATGAAAAATTAATAAAAAATTAATAATTTGTTAAAAAATATAATTAAATTATTTTTGTATTTTATTAATTATCTTTTCTTATTTTACTTAACAAAACTATTGATAGATATGGACAAAATTTCAAATACAAAATAATCGGTATATTTTTAGTTAAAAAACAAATGAATAACTAAGGTTTTGCATCAGAGTTGGTAATAACCATCATGTTGCTGCTGTGTTTACCAGAATTCGGTAAATAATTTTGCCAAAATCATTCAGAATGCACTCGGCTGCTCACAATAAAAACATCATCATGTAGACAAATTCATTTTGTATAAAAGCTAAAGATGGGTAATAGTTTTTGGTTCTCAAGCATTATTGATTCCATTCTTAGTTTTGTTTTCTAAAAATTATTTTAGAAAATAGATTTTATTTTAAGCTTGAAAGCTTAAGTACGTCAATAGAAACAATAGCGAAAGTAGTGGGATGACAGAAATGGTAATTTGCAGTAAGAGAAAAATGAAGTTAACGAAAAAATTATTATTATTATTATTTTTGCTGGAAATTTTTTTAATTCTTATTTTTAAAAACAATTCGTGAAGAATTAATATTTAAAATAAGGGAAAAACTACTCTCCATCCGCAGGAGAGTAGTTGATTTTACTACAGAGACATTGGCCTTTTAAGTTTTTTATTTGTATTTTTTTTTATTTTATAATTATGTGGGTCCCATTATATGATTGTGAGAGTAATAGGAGATAATCTCCCTTATGCAAGGGTAGATTAGTAAAGCCCTTAAAATAATCACATAAAAGTAATCATTTAAACAGATTCTTTTGTTTTTAAATTTTCAAAGCGAAACTGTTTTGAAAAATAGCAATCAAATAGGCCCATGTTTGCACGCCTTGTTCCCCCCTCCCAGAAAAAATAATATTGGAAAAAACATTATAACTTTGAGTTATTTTAAATTCTAACCGTTGATTTCCGTCAATCAACAATTATAATTTATTACGAATTACTAATTAATTATAATTGTTTGATCTAATAAATTATAACTATTGATTGACGAAAATTAACTGTTAAGATCTAAAATGACACAAAATTATATCATTTAAAACGACAAACATTTTTCCCAATAATATTTGCTCCGTAATAGTGCATTCTCTCAAACTTGGGAGGAAAAATCGTATTGTTGGTTTTTTCCTTTTGAAATTTTTTTGGCTAACCTTGTATTGATACAAAGAAAATTACAATAAAAAAGACAAAAAGAAAAAGAAAACCGCAACTATAGGAAAATGAACATAATACAACTATAGAAGGGAAGATGATCCTCGTTAGGAGACCAAGGAAATACATTAAGCGGCAACTTCTTGCTCCTTCGTGGCAAGTTGATTCTGAATGTGCTGAGGCACCACATCAAACATGCCTAATTGCATTGTGTAGGATGCACGACCCTTTGTCATCCCTCTGAGTGTACTCACGTACTGAAACATCTCAGCAAGAGGTACTAGAGCATCGACCACCTGTGTTAGGAAGAAAATAATGCCTAAAGTCCAGCTCCATATAATAGAATCAATGTCTAAGTAAAAAATAACAAAAAGTATCATTGCCTTCATTCACTCATCTAGTCACCCGTATCAAAGTCAGGAGAACATGCGTCAAGCCTCAAACACGATTAACAAAAAAGATTTAAGTACAAAGCGCGTGGATACAAGTTATTCCTTGGAATGAAAGACCAACAGATACGATTAACAAGGTAACAGCCCCCTAAGGGGTATACCCTTGTCATTCATTCCATTTGTTATATTCTGCTTTTTATGATCTTATCTATAGGGAAGGTTAAGAGGGGTTTATGTGAGATGATGTTGGGAGTTTTTTTATTTCACTTTCCCTTTCTTGCATTTTCAAGTGTTGCCTCAGAATTAATAGTGTGTATAAAACATATCAATTTGGAAACATTGTGCATTGTCAAACAAAATACAGTACAAGCACTTTCAAGTCATTAGTCATGCCTTCAGATTTAATAGAATAACCCAACATGGAGAACCAAGTTATTTCACGTACCTTGAGGCCACCCGGTTTGTCACCAAAACTGTTGATCTGTCCTCTTCTTGAGTTGAGATCGCCAATTACATCACCTAGATGTTCTTCAGGAGTAACAACTTCAACCTTCATTACAGGTTCAAGCATCCTTGGTCCAGCTTTCCTCATTCCTTCCCGAAAAGCTCCTCTTGCTGCCAACTGGAATGCCAGCACGCTTGAATCTACATCGTGGTAAGAACCTTCCACAAGTACTGCACGTACATCAACAACTGGAAATCCAGCAAGCACACCGTTGCTCATACACTCTTCCAATCCTTTCATCACCCCCGGAATGTATTCTCTTGGTACAGCACCTCCTTTGATTTCACTCTTGAACTCATATCCGCTACCTGGATCCATAGGTTCAAACCGTACAGTGATATCAGCAAACTGACCTTGTCCACCTGATTGTTTCTTGTGCACATACTTCACTTCCGAGATTCTGGAAATGCTTTCCCTGTAGTTTACTTGGGGAGCACCAACATTAGCTTCCACCTGCAATATAGATAACGTGATATTTACAAAATTTATATTATTATATATAATCATTAAAAAAAGGAGGGGGTGAGGGAAGAGAAGAAAAGCCCACGCCAAGGGAATAATCATATAAAAAGGAAAGGAGAATAGTACCGATTAACAATTATAATGCTTCTCTTATGACACATGGATTTTATCAATGGTCAGGAGTAAAGTTTCATATAAGCATCATATTTTTTTTATGGTGCTTTATTCCTTTCTTCTCCTTATTCTAAGGGTAACAAGTGACAATTCATACTTTCATACTGCAAACAGGTTCCATGATAATCAAATGTGCTAAAGCAGACGTCTACTTATAATTCTTATAATTTGTAATAGTAAGTTGAAACTATTTCATGCATAGTATCAGGACTGTGAGAGGAAAATATCTGAAAGACAGGATAAAATAATTAAACACAAGCATGCTAACTGATAATTGAAAATTCTGAAACAGAGAATGGGAGGTATAACCTTAAATTCTCTTTTGAGTCGATCAACAATGATTTCAAGATGTAATTCTCCCATTCCTTCAATCACTGTCTGGTTTACCTCTTCGTCGCGTGAGAAGTGGAAAGAAGGGTCTTCCTGTGCAAGCTTCACTAGACCAGCTCCCATCTTGTCAACATCAGCCTTAGTTTTGGGTTCAATTGCAACCTTAATCACAGGATCAGGGAAGTCCATCCGCTCAAGCATGATAGGATTATCAGGGTCACACAAAGTTTCACCCGTAATAGTATCTTTTAAACCTGCAAGAGCAATAATATCACCTGCTAATGCCACTTTAACGTCCTCTCTGCTGTTTGCATGCATTTCTAGAAGTCTACCAATTCTCTCCTTTTTCCCCTTGTTTGCATTGAGTACATAAGTCCCTGCACTTAGCTTTCCAGCATACACCCTGACAAACGTAAGGGAGCCTACAAATGGATCACTCATGATCTTAAAAGCTAGTCCAGAAAATGGTTCATCATCTCTTGCTATCCTCTCTATTGTCACTTCTGGGTTTTCGGGGTCAGTACCCTTCATTGGTGGCACGTCAAGTGGTGACGGTAGATAATCCACTACAGCATCAAGCAATGGTTGGACCCCCTTGTTCTTGAAAGCTGAGCCACACAACACTGGCACAAAACTGGCTGATATAGTTCCCTTCCTAATTAATTTATTTATAGTTTCTTCATCTGGTTCAATTCCTTCCAGGTAGTTCTCCATAGCCACATCATCGAACTCAACTATGGTTTCTAGCATCTGGGATCGGTAATCCTTAGCCTGCTCCTGAAGATCAGCTGGAATATCAACATAATCAAACTTGGCACCCAGCTCTTCTCCAGACCAAACTATAGCTTTCATCCTAACAAGATCAACAACTCCCTTAAAGCTATCTTCTGAACCGATTGGTAACTGAACTACAAGTGGTTTGGCACCTAAATTTGTTATAATCATGTCTCTTGTTCGAAAAAAGTTTGCACCAAGACGGTCCATTTTATTGACAAAACAAATTCGTGGGACCCCATATTTATCAGCTTGCCTCCACACGGTTTCTGATTGTGGTTCCACACCGGCAACACTGTCAAACAAGCATATAGCTCCATCCAAAACCCTAAGAGCACGCTCCACTTCTAAGGTGAAGTCAACATGACCGGGAGTATCAATGATGTTAATCCGGTGCTTATTCCAAAATGTAGTGGTTGCAGCAGAAGTAATGGTAATCCCTCTTTCTTGTTCTTGTTCCATCCAGTCCATAGTTGCTGTTCCCTCATGTACCTCTCCAATTTTGTAGTTTCTTCCAGTGTAGAAGAGAATTCGTTCGGTTGTAGTTGTTTTTCCAGCATCAATGTGAGCCATGATGCCAATGTTGCGATAATCCTTCAAAGGAATAGCGCGCTTTGTTTCTGGGAAGAAAGTTAAAAAGAATCATCTCGTATATGTTAGTTGAATCATGGTCATTTTCAAAAGAATGAAAGCAAACTACTTAATAGTTTTATAGAACAAAGTTGGACCATAGGGAATATAAAGATAGAGAACCATTACTTTTCAAGACATCATATACCATAAGATTCCAAGCTATTCTTAAAAGTTCAATAGAACTGACAAATGATGTTCTTTCCTTCAAATAGACTAATTATGACAACTCATGTTGAAATTCAAGTATACATAACAAATTTAAAGGATGATAAACAAATGAACCAAACCAAAAAAACATACCATTTGAAGGTGAATGAAAGTTAGAAAAGGTGAAAAATTAGAGCAAAAAGAGATACCATCAGCGGACATAGCGAAAACAGAAAAGTTTCTTCTTGGAGCAAGTTGGCGTGAATTGGAAGAATTGGAGTTGATTCGGTTACTCCCAAAGAATAGTGAAAGGGAAGATGAAGGGAAAGAGTAAAAGGGTCGAGGCCGAAGACCCATGAAGCGAACCGCAGAGAGAGGGGTTGGCCTCCTCTGAGAACCATTAAGATTGCAAAGAGACGAAGACGACAACCTCAGTGACTCTGCCGCCATATTTTGAGGCTTCTTCTCTTCCTCTGCTTCTGTTCTGTTGTTGAAGTGTTTCAGATAAACAAACCCACATACACACACCCTGGCCTCTAGTTTTCGGTAAGGACTAGGAAGCAGATAGTGTCAGTGTAACTCAACCTATTTCTAATATATTCTCTATTTTATTTATTTTAGCATTTAAGCTTATATAAGATTATATTTTCATTTTTATCTAAAACGAATTTATGCTCCGCCAGAAATAAATTTAACGAAAAAAAAAAAAAAAAAGATACAGAAAATGTTCCATTATCGTAATGACCTGAAGTTTGAAATAACAATACGTAATTACCTTTAAAAGTTTGAGTTTCGAGCTACCTATTTTACATGGCTGGAGACTAATGGCGACGTGGATAATAATCAGCCCCGCTATAGGAATTCCAAGAGCAAGGGTTTTTTTTTTCACCCTTATAATCTTTAATTAATAATTAATTACTAATTTGACCTTCATTTGAAATTAATTCGAAAATTTAACCCCTTCAGAAAACATAACACCAATCTGCCCTTGTTTGACCGTTGACCATGAAGCCTACCCGGGTACACCCCTCCCTACCCTGGTATTTTTCAAAAAAATTTATCTACCCGGGTAGAGTTCTTGAAACTGGAAAAATGGTTGAATTAGTTAACCGGGTAAGAAGGGTTGTACCCGGGTAAACATCCAGAGTAGCGTTTTTATATAAATGAAAAAAACTGTAACAGGCATGGTTCATGGACGATAGCAACGAAGATCCAAGGCTTCCTCACCATGGCAGCCCTAATGAATTTGTTTCCATCAACCAATTAGCAGGTCATTACTCTCTCTCTCTATCTATCTATAGTTTTACTTAGTTGTGACCAGTGGCGGACCCAGGAAAAAAAGTTCATGTCCGCACATTAAGTAGTGGGGGTTCGGTGCCCCTGAACCATAACCAAACTGCTCCACATTTTAAAAATCGATTATTTTTAAAAAACGATTTTATATGAAACTGTATTTTATTTTTATAAACTGGTTATTTACCAAACCATAAAAATAATTGGTTATCCATAACCAAACTGGTCAATAATTAAAGAACAAATAAGTAAATTCGTCATGAGTTGTCCTTTTAACGCCGCTCTCAGAGATGTTAAGACAATTGATTAATTTCGTTGTCATTTTCGTTATGATTTTTTAACTTCATCTTTGTCATTACAAAGCCTTTGCCTTTGCCATTTTTTTTTTGGGAAAAAAATTTGTTACCTTACGTAAGAAGTGCTTTCTTAGAATGCAACATTTCTTGTGTAATTTTTTTTACATAAATATTTTCTACTTGAGTAGCTTAACTTTTTTGCTAGTTTATTGTTTGGAAGTTTGAGTCAATTGACTAATATAATAGGCATGATAAAAAATAATACTTATTTGTTCTTTTTTTTTTGGAAATACAATGAAAACTAAAGCAACATCAAAAAAAGCCCTATACTGGGCATAATCTTGGGAGACTAACTCCCCTGAAGTCATTACGAAGCAATTCCAAACAAGCCGTTGGAGGGACATCCAGCACAATCAGATGTCCATCCTGATGAGGTGCATGAGTAGCAAGCCAATCAGCAACAAAATTGCCTTCTCTATAAGTATGACTAAGCTGAATAATCCAGTCTCTTTGAAGCATGCTACGAGCTCGGATGATTAAAGCAGAAAGAGGATGACTTACGTCACACCCTTTTCTTATAAATTCCAAAGCCACCTTGGAGTCACCCTCCACAAAGACTCTCCTAAATCCCTTATGCCAAGCCAGATCCATACCTGTCAAGAACCCCCAAATTTCTGCTGAAGTAGAAGTACCACTCTCAAGGAATTTTGTAAAACCAGTTAACCAGTTCCCAGCAGCATCCCTTATGACTCCACCACATGCAATCCTTTGCCCACTGTCTATACTGGAACCATCCACATTAAGTTTAACATAACCCTGAGAGGGAAAATTCCAGTGAATAAGACGTTCCTCTCTTCTAAGCTCCTGATGACCAATCTTAATAAGGGTTTCATTAGCCAATTGAATATTACCACAAGTATAGGTAATGCGCCTAATGAGACCATACTTCGAGGTGATAGTTTGATCAAAGATCGCCTTATTTCTTTCCCCCCACAAACACCAAGCTATCACCCCAAAATACAAAGGCCAAGTTCGATCAGTTTGAAACGGACCTTTTAATCCTAGATTTGTCTGAATCCATAGGTGAAGATCCATGGAGAAAAAGTCACTACGGTTATCAGAAGGAACCCAATGCTCCCATAATTCTCTGGCACCAGGACAATCTCTAATGGCATGTAAACTATCCTCAAGATTATAATGACATCTCAGACACCCTGCTTCTGTAGCCATGTGACGATGCACTCTATGAACATTAGTTAAAAGAGAACCTCTGTAGAGAAGCCATAAGAATTGTCTAATACGTTCAGGACCAGGCCAAGCCCAAATTACCTTCCAAATCCTATCCTGATGATAATGCGAGGTACCCATGAGATAGTTATAAGCTGATTTCACTGAAAAAACCCCATCTTGGCTACCTGCCCAAATAAAACGGTCCGGAGAAGGATCCACTGTAGGAGGGAGCACACTACGAATCTTGTCTAATACTGAAGTAGGAAGAAGGTGCTGAAATAAAGGCCAGTCCCAATTACCATAACAAGTTACAAATTGAGACGTAGACCAATGAGTCATAATAGGAGGAATAGGTTGAACGGCCAGAGAAACAAGTTGAGGACATCCTGGCACCCACGAATCCATCCAAAAAGACGTATGAACCCCATCCCCTAAAATGATACGAGAATTCTCTAGAGTTTGAGGCCAATACTTAACAATAGCCTTCCATAAACCAGAATCATTTGCGGAAGCCGAGATACTTGGAATGAGCCTTTCCTCCACCTTATACTTGTTACGAAGGACCCGAACCCATAACGAATTACGATCAGTCATGATTCGGTGACCTAGCTTCATGATAAAAGCCATATTATTCTCTTTAATTTTACGAAAACTAAGCCCCCCTACATTCTTCGGCAAACAGACCGTCTCCCAAGAAACCAGGTGAGCTTTCCTTCGTTCAGAAGTTGATCCCCAAATGAAATTCCTAGTTACACTCTCAATACGATCACACGTACCACTAGGAATAATACAAGTTTGCATAGGATATTGAGGAATTGCAGTAAGAACTGACCTAGCCAAAGTTGATCTTCCTGCCAATGAAAGAGTACGTTGATTCCAGGCATTTAAACGAGCTTGCATCCGATTTAAGATATAGCCAAACGTACTCTTTGTAACACGGCTATGACGAAGAGGAATACCCAAGTATTTACCCAAGTCATTTGTAGGAGAGTAGCCCATCAACTGGCTTAGATTCTGCACTCGGGTATGATTAACGTTTCTGGAGAAGAAGACTTTTGTTTTTTCCTTGCTAACCTTCTCACCAGAGCACCTGCAAAAACAATCAAGAATCTTATTAATAATAACAGCTTGCCCTTCTGTGGCTTCTGTAAAGAGCAGAAGATCATCTGCAAAAAATAGATGGGAAAGCAGTGGTCCCCTTCTATTCAATCTGATAGGCTTCCAATTGTTCTTTAATTGTAGAGTAGTTTGGTTATGGATAACCAATTATTTTTATGGTTTGGTAAATAATCAGTTTATAAAATAAAATGCAGTTTCATGTGAAACCGGTTTTTAAAAATAATCGATTTTTAAAATGTGGAGCAGTTTGGGGTAGATGGAACCCAATTGTCTCTGAATTCTTTTCTTTTTATAATTGAATAAAATTATCTGTCTTTAATGCTTTCTTTGAGTTTGCTCATTATAGATTGATTTAGGAGAATTGTATGACAATAGGAATGTTGTGCATGAATCCTGATTTGATAAATTTATCACAATTCTTGTGATCTAGGTATAGACATAATGCAATTGCGCAATCTTTAAATTCTTGATCTTAATGCATGCTTTCTTGGGGAATAATCGGGGAACTAAAGTTCTTTCAAGATCACATAGATTTAGGGTAACAAGAAATTGAGCCCTAATTAACTTAGAAAGAATTGATTGGCATTATATTAAGAGTAGATTCTTAACAGTTTAATTCATAGCTTAAAGAGGAGATTGGGGGAAGTCGAAACCCTAACTACGCTTGTTTTTAATCTTCAAATCAATCATCTTTCCGATTGCTTTTTAATTCTGAATTTTAAATTGCATGTTATTAATTATTTTCTTTTTAATTAAATTTCCTTCATTTAAGTCTTGATTGTCCAACTAAACCGTGATTAGTGAACTAGTGTTTGAAATTCAATCCTCGTGGGAACGATCTCGTACTCAGTACACTTTTATTACTTTTACAACCGGTGTACTTGCCGAAGTCGCAACAAGAAGGTTGAATGAAAATCTGTTGGCTCTCTTGCTGGGCTAGCCCCTGCTTTGAAAACCAATCAGCACATTTATTGGTGTCCTGGTATCCACGAAAATTCGGTGCAACACTCTCTATAGAATGCAGATTTTTTTATTTTTTTAAAAAAGAATTTAAAATAATTGCAAAAGCTGATGACTCCAGTCAACCTAATTTTGTTTGAGTTTGTTCATTTTGATTCATCTTTTAAATAAAACATCATCTTGATTAGTTTGATTTATTTATTTATTCAAATTACTCCAACTCAACCCGGGTATAACCCATATAGTCCATACAATAGCAGATCACCCCTAAAAGATGCATATAATTATAGAAATGAATCTTAAACGAATTGAATGTATGGTTGATTATGGGTAATTTCAATCAACAAATAAGGAGAGAGAGAGAGCTTTTCGGTGGTGGAAGGAAAAAGATGAGGGAGAGTGAGAGAAAATGGAAATGTGAGATGAAAAGAGGAGAGATAGTTTTAGAAAATATCTAGGTTTCAAGTTACTCATTTGTCCTTAACATCCTCTCATTATTACAATCCACCTTTATCTATTGAATTTTAATTTTATTTCTAAGTGATTTAGGTCTTAATGCGATGTGTCACACACTAAATTTATCTTGGTCTCATCCCCTTTGCATAATTTGCACTTCAACACAACACTCTCATTAATTATACTTTTGC